TCCATCAGGGGAGAGAGGTTAAGCAAGTTTTACTCTCATCATCACTTTGTCTCAAATTAAAACCAGCTCTTATAAGAACCTTACTGGGTCCCCAAGAAAAACATTTCTTGTTGAAAACAATCTGCCTTCCACTTTTTAGAAAAGTGTAGATCACAGGACAGAAAGTTATGTGGAAAATAAATAAATAAATAAATAAATAAGAGAGGGAGGAAGTTTAGCTCCACTAGCTGATTTGAAAACATGAAGTCTAATTCCTGTTTCACTGTGACTGTCACAGGGCCAGGGATGTTGTAGATCATTAATATAAGCAGGAGAAAGTCAAGAAGCAGAGCTCTTTTTAGGAGTCGGGTGAGAACAGTGCAGGTATTGAGCGGGATGTCAAATGTTGGTTCATATTGCCCAAGTAGTGGGCATGTGCTTTACAAAGTGACTTTTAACAAGCTGGGCCACAGATTTATCTTTTCAGTCAGGAAGTATATGGTCCTCAAGGTTATTCAAAATAAAACTCTTGAAGAATGTCAGGCAAGGAAGAGCCCTCGCTTGTACCTGCTTCTGGATGCAGATCATCATCGCTTTATTCCAGGCCCTCTCCCTAACTAGTAGCCACATCCCCACATCCCAGGAAGGCCTATAGCTGTGCAACCAAGGTCCACAGGCCCCAGTGAGTTAGTAATCTGTATCCTCGCTGGCATGTCTGTTGTTAACTTCATGCTTTAACTGGTGGTTTAGGGAGCTGACAGAAACCCTGTGCTGGCCCTGCTATTTAGTGAGGTGTTCTTGTGTGTGTATTTTGGTTTCCAAAGCTAATTAGAAGAGAAATGACAGCTTCCCCTCCACCCCCTACTAAAGATCCAAAATTAGCACAGGTATAAGAGTCTACTAACCTACCATGGATATCAAATACTTGTATTATTTTTCTCTGTATGTTACATAGAGATATGAAACATCTAAGTTAATGTACAAAATGAAGGATTAATAAAGTTGACTATTTTACAAAAAAAAAAAAAATTCCTGTAACAGTTGGAGATAAATTACACACCAAGAAAAATTTTGGAAAGACCCACTATGGTACAAAGGGTATTTGAACATGATGTTCCTTCTGTATTTAAAAGAAAAAAAATCCCCTCATGATTATAACAATTTCTACTTTTGTGGCTATGCCTAAACTTTATAGAAAAAAAGAAAATCAATGGAACTTTTGAATTTTTTTTAATACATGTTTTTTCTCTTCTAAAATGACTCTCCTCATTAAAGTGAAAAGATACAGCTGCTTTCAAAGTCATTGTTTCCTCATATTTCATTCAGAAACGACCATAAATGCTAGTGGAAAGATGGTTTACATGTGAGACAATGTGAACCGGGAACATTTCCTAACCTTCTTGAAGGCCACATTTGTCAAACTGCTATTCAGATTGCCTGTTGCAAAAGTTTTAAACTTTAGAATGATTGAGGCTTGGGCATAGTAGATTATTATAACGAAATTTAATAGCAGTTTAGCACAACTTTCAAGAAGATTGTTTTAGAAGGATGTGCATTCTACAGTAATTACACACGAAGAAGTGAACAAATACAGATGAAGTGTTTGTAGTTTACTTCAAGCGATACAGCTCTTCTCTATGAAAACGTCTTGCTCTTGGCCTAGCCCACTGTTTCAATCAAGCAGGGATTTTAAAAGTGACCTTGCAGGGAAGAGTCAGGAACAAGTTTAGTAACACTGACTCAAACCTCCAAGGAAAAACCATTTGGATACAAAGTAAACCTTCCACAAGTTTAAAAAATAAGACCCCTTTATAGCCCTTCTCCAAGGATTGCCTGTTTATTCTGCTGCAGGAACAGACAGTATGCAAATCCTTTCCATAATCAAATAATTTCCAAGTTAGAAATATTTCACATTGAAAGGCAAGGGCTCTTTTCCTTATGTGTAACTTAACCTCTTAGGTATAGTTTGCTTTACAAATTATCTAAAAGAAGACAATGATACAGCTTTGTGAAATACTTCTTTGTGAAACAGAACTGGAAAAAAATAATCCTTTACTGCCCAGTAATGAAGAATTTTTTTTCCTGAAGGCTTTCTAGTCCCAGTAAATGAGTTCTTAAAAAAAAAAAAAAAAAAACTATCCATGAAAAATGAAAATAGTCAATTTTAAGTCCATAAATGAAATAAATGTGAAATGGAGTCACTTCTACATTCAAGTTTCAATGTAATTAAGCAGAACTAGGAAGAAAAAGGCTCCTCTAGCCTCCACTGTGAGTCCTTGGGCATAGATGTCCATGTGCTGGGCTACTAAGTGAAGAGCTGCAGGTTCAAGTCTACCCAGAGGCGCCTTGGAAGTCCTGGTAATCTGCTTTCTTTTAAAAATTCAACCATGAAAACCCTACAGAGCACAGTTCTACTCTGATACACATGGGGTCATCATGAGTCGGAATTCAATGAAGGGCAACTGGTTAGTTTTTGTTAGTCTCCTCTGACAGAGCTGAACAGGTACAGCAACAGGCTGACTGAGGCCCCAAGAAGAATCCTTAGGCTATTCCCCTCCTCCTACCAAGTCTCTTCCATTTCAGGTTTTATTTCTTAAATAATGACATTTAGCTCATAGGAAAGTCTTCCCGGCTAGAGTAAAGGAGTTTGCATCTTCTATTGCACCTAAATTCAATCTGTGTTTGGACCATTAAATTTTCACTTGCCAACTCTAGGGTTACAAATTCAGAAGGGAAGAAAACAATCTAGCTTTGGGTATTGTGAGTCCTGTTTCCAAGTGTTCCCTTGTCCTCATTTTCCGTCATCTAACATTATTAAGTGCAATGAGAATGATCATAAGGTTCTTTTAGTATAAAAAAATTCACTGAATTTTGAAGAGGCAACTTAGCAGCAGTACATGTTAGAGATCTGGTTGTTTTAGTTCCATCTAAGCTGCATGAAGGTCCCTGGGTGGCACAAGTGATTTGCACTTGACCACTCTTCAGAAGGAAGGTTGGGTGATCTACTTCTGCAGTGATACCACCTCAGAAACCCAAGGAGGGGTCACTATGAGTTGGCTCTGACTTGATGGCATTTTTTTTTTTTTTTTCAGTAACCTAAAGGTTGGTAGTTTGAACCCACCCAACAGCACCATGGAAAAAAGGCTTGGTGATCTGCCTTTGTAAACATTACAGCCAAGAAACCCCTCTGGAGCAGTTTAACTCTAACACAGGGAGTCACCAGGAGTCAGAATCGACTCTACAACATTCTTTTCTTTTTTTGCTTTTAAACTGCATGAGAGTCGGCTGTAATACTTGAGCCAAAAGTTTTTACCATCTCTAAGTGAATTAACAATTGCCATCCAGTCTCCTTGGGATGTATCTGAGTCTGTTTTGGGTACCACACTTAGAGAGTTTAACAAATCCAGAGGCGGTAACAATTGCTCCATCAGGGTTTCAACTGCTTGAAACTTGGTTATGGGAAGAACGATTGAATGAATTGAGAATATTAGTGGGAAGGCATAATGACTACTTTTTAAAATGTCTGCAGGACTAACATGTGGAAGAAAGATTAGAGACGTTTATTTACACTTCAGCAAACAGACTGAGGACCAACTGGCAGAAAATTTACAGAACAGATTTTCACTCAACCAAGGTGGATATCCAGTGAGCTACTTGTCATGGATGCATTCAAGCAAAAGCTGGAAAGCCACTTAACAGAAACATGGTTTGATGGGCTAGATTCAATGACCCATAAGATCCCTTCCAACTCTGCATAGCTTTGTGCAGGCTCTAGGAATAATATGAAGATCTAATTTGGAAAACTATTCTTAGAAAGTAGCCAGTATAACTTTTATAGCGAAGACTGCATTTAGAAATATTTCTACCAGTTCTCTTCAGAGGATCAAATTTGAGGCAGTGTTACAAACGGAAGGAAGAAGGCAGTGGAACTCTCCCTGTATGGGGCTGTAATGCACTTAGTATCGGATGACACGCTGTTACAAGGATTACCCAGAAAGCATGCTCCAACAGCTCAATTATTGCAGACTGATCTAACACAAGATACACAAGTGTCATTTAAGATGCTGCCTGAAGGCTTAGCATTTCCAGGTGTTAGCTGCACAATAAAATCATCCTTACAAGTCTTGAAACACTGTCTTCAGCTCACCAAAACAGGAGAAAAAAGCCGTCTGAACCTGTCTCCTTAGGGGTAGAGGTGGAAGCAAGATTTTTCATAGAACAAGTGCCCTCCACTGAAACCTTCAAAGGAATGAGTGCTATCTGACCAGGACCCATCTTTGTCAACTTGCAACTTATCCTCATCAGTTTAGTACTATTTTGGGTAACAAATTTCTTTATCCATGCATGTCCTGTACCACTATCATAACTATCTCTTGACACAAGATGCCCAGGACTCCTGCGTTAGTAGGTATAAAAGCTGAACAAATGTATGTTTTGGCTAATATGGAAAAGACACCAATATGGATAGTGATGTATTATTGGCTTCGTGTAAAGTCTACTCAATAGATGGTGAAATATACTATTAAAATGAATGACAATTAGTTTTTAAATAAGGCCTTACCAAAAATTTAAAATCTTAATGTTGTCTAGTTCTTGTAAGGCTGAATCTCAACGCAGAGGCTGTATTAAAAGTAGGGCAATTCCTAGTATTTATGTTGACCAGTCAAAAGTCCTGAATACTGCCAATCAAATGCACCAGAGTGAGGACTTAAGGTAAATATGACTGCGTGGGAGAACAGAGACTTGTAGGTTATTCAAACTCTAAGTCTCTGATTCACTGCTGTGGGAGGGGAGAAAGAATTATTTTTCAAACTGGCCATAAACCTATAAAAGAGCTATGCTTTCAAAAAATCCAATAATCAACCAACACTCCTCATTAGACTCATTCAAGTTTGCTCCATCATTTTTAACAAAAAAATGTCTTGGGGGCTGTATTTTGAGGTTCCCTTTCTAAAGCTGAATTTCACTTCTGTTTCAAAAGACCAACTGAGGCACTGGTTCTGAGTTTAACACTATATTTATTAAAGTGTTTTTATTAACAAACTTTCACCAGAAAGTTCCGAGTGTGTTAATACAGCAGGCACATTGGCATCTATGTTTGGCATTTGACATTCCACAGAATTGCACTTCACTCTCACGATTCTGTCACAACTTTGTGGATTGTTTGGGCAGGACACATAACCAGCCTCCCCCATGAAATGGTTAAATATAAATTTTGGTTCACTCTGCTTTAGATGCTCTGAGTTCATAATGACATCAGTCTGTGACAAGCTCAACTCCACCTTCCTTTCTGCCTTGTTGCTCTGATGCACTAAACAAGAATCCTTATTTTCAGTCCCTCCGCTGTCCTCTGTGTTCTCAGTATCTCTATTTTTACAGAGTCCCCTTTGGCTAGTCTCAGCATCACCACAGACTTTCATTAAAGATCCAGTGCTACTGCAGGCAAATGATGACGGCTCTGCCATCTTTGGAAGATGCTCTTCGATGCTCTGAAGACTGTGCACACTCGTCTTCCCAATTTTTTCTTGAGTCTGAATGTGCTGCACTGGGTGAAGGAAAAAATTCCTTGGCAGAGGGTTCTGCACCCCAGGTGGCTTCACTCTTCCCTGCAGACAGGGGCAGTGGTGGATGTGCGGGAAGGGGTGCATGAAGCCATCAGGGGCCTGGTGTGTAATCTTCAGCTGTGCCATGCCATTCTGAATCTGGACAAAGCTGCCAGCAGAAGGGGCACACTGGTGGCACAAGCTGTCACCCAACTGCTGGCAGGACTGTGGGCCATACTTCAAATGCTTGTAGGCATTGGTGCAGCTACATCCCCGATTGAGAGAGATGAACTGGCACATGGTGTGCTTTTCAAGAGAGGGCTGGAATAAGGCAGAGCTTGTTTCACTTTTGGTGCTTTTGCTGAGCTCACTGTTGTAAGCTGCGTGCACAGGCATTCCTAAATTCTTTGCTTGGCTGTTGAAGATTTCGGAGCAGATGTGGGTCTCTTCATAAGTGGTCTTCTCAGCAGCAGTACAGCTGTGGGATGCCAGAGGTTCTAATTCATAAAACTCATGCTCCAGTTCAGATTTTTGGCCCCTGGGATCTAAATGATATGCACTCATGGTGTGTGTTTTGCTTTGTCCCTTGTCATCAGGACTTGTAGACAAGGCATGGGAAAAGGCACTGCACTGTAGTTTTTTAGGTAACGGAATCTGACCACAGGTCCCCTGCGGCCCAAGGCACCGGCACATACACTGGAAAAAGAAGGTAGCAAAAGCCCAGCTGATGCACATGATCAGCATCATGAAGGTGCCCAGCTGGGTGTAAGCCAGCACCGTGGAGGGCATCATCATGGCCCCCGCCACGAAGGTGGTCAGAGCAGCCATGGCAATCGCAGAGCCCATGCGACTCAGAGAGAAGATCACCTTTCCTTCACGGTCAGCATCTGGAGCTAAGCGGTAAGCAACCCCATAGTGGACTGCAAAGTCTACAGACAAGCCAACTGCAACTGAAATGGTAACAGACTCCAAAACATTGAGCTCCCAGCCCAGCAGGACAAGAGAACCAACAGTAACAAAGATAGTTCCAGCTATTGAAATGATGGCATAAAGGCTTATTATAATGTTCCAAGTGGTAAGTAGCATCACACTAAATGCAACAGCAACTGAGAGCCCCATGGCAATGAGGGTGCCATCAGAGAGGCTATCCTGAAGATCATAGAACTCCAGATTGCTGACAAACCAACCATTGCTGAGGCCTTCTGGTGCAGAGCTCAGCTCATGTGAAATCCATGAGTCCACCTCCTTATAAAACTGATGCATTTTTTCATAAGCTAGAGTGAAGAGGTAGGTACTTTGGAATTCTAGCACGACTGCCCTTATAGTATCATTGATGTCAAACCGTGGCCCTGGGGTTTTGCTATCCAAATGGTACCCAGTGCTCCTTTCCAACTCCATGATGGCTCTCTTGATGCACAGTTCAAAAATCTCTTGCTTATAGGGAAAGCTCCAGTGGCTGCAGCATGGGTACAGGGCAGGTTCGTCACAGTCTTGGTTTTCCATCCACTGCTTGAATGTCTCAATGAAGCAGCTGGTGAAGTCTTGTTCATCAGTCTGGTGAAAGAATGTCTGATTTCTCAGCTTTTGACAGAAGTTCAAAATCCAGAGCTGGGAAGCTGGGCTAGCAATGTTAAAACTGCTATCTAAAGTCAACTTTCCTTTACTTTTGGGATTTAGTGGATTGCCATTGTCTTCAGGGGACACACCCCAGATTACTGTGATGGGCATATGGAGCTCCTCTCCATGATGAACACGTTCAAACATGAAAAGCTTTTTGTACTCAGCATCGTAACGTTCAAAAGGGTGAGACGACCTGAACACCTGGAACTCAGATAACTCCAAAGAGGGGAGCTTCATCTTTGGGTTAAAACAAACAATGTAGGCCCCGCCTACAGTTAAGGCAAAGAACCAGAAGAGCCAAAGGTAGCGAAACTTAATGACAATGCATGGTAATACTTTTTCAAAAAAAATTCGAGAGGCTTCTGAAATAGTAAAAACAACTTTGTAGCACTTTTGGCAAGCCACTGTCCAGCAGCTCTTGGTATCATATATCTGCTGCTGGGGCTTTCTGAAGCAACTGAATATATGGAGGAGATAGCGCTCATGTAGGACCACAACTGCAGGAAGCCAGGTGACCATCAAGACATAATTCACCAATATAGCCGTCCCTGCATAAACTCCAAAGCATCTGATTGCTGTAATATTGCTAACATAATTAGCATAAAAGGCCGCTGCAGTGGTGAAACTGGTGACAAACATGGAGAGGGCAGCGTGTTGCAAGGTGATGCTCACAGTTTCTGAAGTTTCAGCATGAGGCTTGTCAAATTTGGTGTAGTTCCAAACATCACACAGGACAAAAGCATCATCTGCTCCAATTCCAACCAAAATAATGAGTGCAGTGAGGTTCATAAAAGGAAAAAACTCAAAGTTAAATACGACACGATAGAGAAAATAGGAAACAATCAAGGAACTGATTATTGCAAACATTGTCATCAGAGTGATAAACATGGACTTAGTGTAGACACACATGACTAAAAGGACAATCACAATGGCTATGGCAGGATACACAGTATCCATTAGAAGATAATCTTGAAACAAGCTGTGTTTGATACCAAACTCAATCCCCGTGATCGTGGTTACACCGTCAGAAGAGTTCCAGTTTTCAAAGTTGTCCAGGTAAATGTTCATCATGCTCTCCCCTTTTTCTGTGGGAGAGAAGAGCATGCTGTATTTTAAAGCTGGCATGGCGAAGTCAGCTGTCTTTGGGGTTATGAAGTCTTTGTCCACCAAGTAATGGAGGATCTGGTATACAGCGTTGTACTTGGTACATTTTCGAGGCACATCGGTGCACTTAAGCTGATCCTTTCTCCTGGCTGCCATGTCCCAGCAGTCTGGCCCCAGTGTGCCATTCTGGTAGTGTTTGGCACAGATCCGAAGCAGCTTCAAGGTATGAGAAACGTCCCGCTCCACAATTTTCTGACAAGATGATCTGTTGTGCAGAATGGCGATGTAGTTCCCCAGTGTCCAGCTGGGGCAACAGGAGGCAGCGGTGGTCCTCTGGCAGAGATCGCCAAACTGGGGGTGGGATCTGATCTGCAGAGACAAAGACACCAGAGGGACTGCAGTTGAAAACTTGTTCCCTGAAAGGTCTGAATTAGGGTGGTCTGGAGGAACAGGGATAGTTATAGGTATGAAATAATCATCCTCTTAAAGTATCAGTTTGGATATAAGGTGAGGTTTCCCTCCAAAATCATCTCATTTTACAGAGCACTGACTATAGTTACTTTATTTTGAACAGGATACTGTTGCGGAATGACATAAAAGTGTGAAACAATCTTAATCAAAGCTTGCTTTACTTAAACCAGGAGACCAAATTAACACCTATTCAGTAGATAGGACTTTCAAAAAACAGTAAAAGGCAATAAAGTGGATAGGTTGTGAAGCTCTTTTATATATCTATGGGATTGATTAAGAAAACTATCCAATTGATGCAGGAAACATTTGTGGCTTTGCCTAAAATTTCTGTAACTGGCATGAAAGTTTTTGGGCCAAAAGTATTCTCTCAGTCAGAAATGATATAACCTAGAAAACTGTCAGGTGACTTAAAAAGTAATTCCGGTGATGTTTCAAAGGCACTGATGTCAAAGATGTGTGAAAGGTTTGGAATAAAATTGTTTCCTGAAATATGAGTGGAAAAGGGCAGTATTTCTAAATGAAAACATGATATACATGTGCTTTTTTATTATTATTATTATTAGGATTTGGGTGAAGATTTACAGAGTAAATTCACTTTTCATACAGCAGTTCACATATACTTTGTCTCATGTCATTGACCAAAATTTACAATGCAGCATCTCCCCTCCCACTTCCTCCCCATAGTTACCTCCTCCCAGTGTCCATCCCTTCATACTCTTCTGCACCCTGAGCTATCTCCCTGTGCATAAGCAGCCCTTCCTTCTCCCATGATTGTTCTCTCCAGGGCGTGTGTCTACTTGAGGTAAATGTTTAACTCACATGCCTGTACTTTGTTTGGCTGGAAACCACAGTTGTGGGTTCAATTCCAGACCTGAAGGGCAACTAGGGGCCATAGTCTCAGTGGTTACACCAGGCTCCATTGGACCAGCCAACCTGGTTCCCACCTTCTTTTTTTTTTTGCCTCCAAACAATTTTGAGTTTTGTACCACTTTGTTCTCCCTCTTTATGTAGGATCTCCTATATCATTCACATGAACTTATAGGCCCATTGTCTGCCAACCCCATATATGATCTTGGATACACTCTCCATTTAGACACACCCAATTGTTCAGCCTGTTCACCCATCTATCCGTCCCTATACCCATGTTTGCTTTCACTGACAACTCAGTACTGTATATGCAAAGGGGCTCATATTTGTTGTCTGTACTGCCCATGTAACTCTCTATGTCTTTCTCATCCTCAATGCTGCCATATTGGTCACTCACATTTGGTACATTGCCCTTCTCTTCACCCAAATCAATATTTATCTCTATGTATCTAACAGCATTCCCTCCCCTCCCCTCCCACTATACATGTGCTTTTAAATAAATATATGTAATTAAGATGATAAATTGCTTAAGTAAGAACTTAATTTTCACATCCTTAAAAGTTTACTCAATTTGGCTAAAACTTTTTTTTAGGAATCTTCTCTTTTGGTAAAGGGAGAACTGCTGTACATTAGCAAATATGGCAACTCTGGGTTTAATGTGGGCAGGGTTTCATTGAAAACACTACTCCTGGAGAAGACTTTTCTTCCTATGGCTGTTCTAATTACAGAAGATTGAAAAACTGTCCCATTATTGGCAATCGTAGATTATGGTGAAGTCTGAAAAATTTTATTGCCTTAAAAATCTGTAAAACTAGATGAATGGTCCCTGTTTCTGGAAGGTGAAAATAAGAAATATTCTCCTCCCTCCAGAGAGTTCTCTTTAGAAGCAGAAGAGCTAAAGACTACCGAGTCCTACCACTTCCCCTCATCTCTACTTACCAAAGGCTGTTCCAGGGAAGAAGCTCCAAAGTTTAAGAAGGGTGTGAACAGTTGTTTTTTTTTTTTTTTCCTAGTAAGATTAAAAGCACCCTTTACTTTTATTAAACTAGGTTTTCTCAATGGTACTGAAGAGGAGAAGTCACCACAAATCATCTCTTTGGAATTCTTATCTCAGAACCAAGTTACTTATAATCAGGGCTTCAAACCAGTTCATTCTGGTTTGACTCTCAGCTGAGAATTTGCATTCCCACCTTATATACGCTGAATCAGAATCTACATTTTAACAAGATCTATTTAACAAGGGAGTTATTAAAATGTGATTCTGATTCAGTATATCTGGGGCGGATATGCAAATTCTTAGCAGGGGACTGAACTGGAATGAACTGGTTTGAAACCTTAATTATAATTCCTTGTTGTTAAGCACTGAGTTGATACTGATTCACAGCAATCCATATGACAGAGAATAACTGCCCCATAGGCTTTCCTGGACTGTAATCTTCAGGGGAGCAGAGTGCCAAGTCTTTTCTCCTGTGGAGTTACTTGTTGTTGTTGTTGTTGTTATGTGCCGTCAAGTCAGCCCTGACTTATAGCGACCCCTCCTTGGGTTTCCGAGGCAGTATCACTATGGAAGTAGGATTGCCCAACCTTCCTTCCAAGGAGTGGCTGGTGGGTTTGAACCGCCAGCCTTCTGGTGAGCAGGCAAGTGTCTTAGCCACTATGCTACCAGAGCTCCCGTGGAGTTACTAGTGGATTTGAAATGTTAACCTTCTGGTTAGCAGCCAAGTGCTCAACCTTTGCGCCCCCAGGGCTCCTCATGACCCTTCATTGACACTAATCCTGTGCAGCTAGGGATGTGGGATGAAACAAGATTGGCTAAGTGTTGGTAACTATTGAAGGTGGGTGAGCTAAACTTGGGGATTCATTACACTATTCTTTCTACTTTTGCATATATTTGAAAATTTCCCTAATAAACAATTTTGTTTGTTTTTAAGTATTCTATTAGAGTTAAAGAAAAATGAGCCAAAGGATTATTATTCAGATGCACTAAAATCAACATTTATTTTAACATAGACTTCATTTTTAAGCTCCTTTATCAAAAGCAGTAATTACTTGGCTCACCATAAAACAGGGTGATTCATATTTGTTTCCAGGTAAAAACATTCACATATTCTAAGCTGGGGAAACATGCACCACGTAATAAGTAACAGAAGAAATTACAGATGGAATAGCATCTCTCTGGTTTTCATGGCAGATAACCAGTTTTATCCCACAAAGGAAAAACATACAAGCTCCTGAGGTCAGCTTGGTGAACTGAAAGAAAGGCAGTGCATCCCCAATGTCTGACAGTTTTCAGACAGAAGAAAATGAACTGTATCCATTATGAAACCCATTATTAGCTAGAAGGAATACAGTTGCTGAAATAACCAACTGCTAAAGATAAAGGAAATAGGATTGCCTGCTAAAAGAAAGCAAGCACAGAATTCTGTCCTTGAATAACTTTTTGAAGTAAGAGCAGAGGTTTTTTTGTTTGTTTGTTTTGTTTTGTTTTTGGCAAATGTGCATATTTCACTAAAGATTAAAAAAATTGAACATGATAAACACCAACCAAATACTACTTTGATGTCTGCTATCAAAAATAAATGCTAAGAAATCACTGGGGAGCCAATACTCAAATTCAAAAGTGGTGTTGGCTGATATACATGCTTTGGAAAAACAGACTCTCTGTTGTTATTGTTGTTACATGCCATGCAGTAGATTTTCAATTCATAGCAACACCCTGTGACAAAGTAGAACTGTCCCCTTGGGTTTTCTAGGCTGTAATCTTTATGGGAGAAGACTGTCAGGTCTTTTTCCCACAGAGTTGCTGGGTAGGTTCAAACCACCAACCTTCTGGTTAGCATCTGAGTACCTGACTGTTATGCCACCAAACCAAAAACCAAACTCACTGCTGTGGAGTCAGATCTGACTCACAGCAACCCCTCCTTGGGTTTCTGAGGTGGTATCACTACGGAAGTGGATTGCCCAACCTTCCTTCCAAGGAATGGCTGGTGGGTTTGAATCGCCAGCCTTCTGGTTAGCAGTCATATGCCTTAGGCACTATGCCACCAGATCTGTTATACCACCAGGGCTCCTTAAAGGACTTACAGAGTAAGATTTAAGGAGAGATAAATGACATTGTGACTGATACTCTTTAGCTAACCTGAGATGGATGCTAGTACCCTGAAGCTAAAGGAATGGAGCTCGAGGAATTGTCTAGACTTTCAGGGTATAAGGCTACATGTTTCTGTCCATCCATGCACCAAAGAAAAATATACTTGCAGAAGCACTTACATGAGATGAATAAGGCACAGTGGTCCTTGCCCTCAAGGTATTCAGTGTGGCAGGGAAATCAGATAAGAATATAAATAATTATAACTCTGTAAGACAAATATTGTTTTATGTGTAAAACAATATTGGGAACCTGAGGAGGGAGTGCCAATGTCTGTAAGTGCAGTGGGAAAGTGGCACCAAAAGTCTTCTGTGACCAAGTAGCTAAATATAGAGGCATATACTACAGGGCTTAAAGATACTGGCAAGCACATGTATCTTCATGGAGAAGGCAACTATATATAATTTTTGGAAAAGAGATTCATGGGAATAATTTCAAAATCTTTGATGTTTATAAAAATAAAAATAGGGTTAGTGACAGCAATTTCTTGTAATTCTCATGACAAATACAGTCCTTCTAATTCTTCTTGTTATTAGGTGCTGTTGAGTCAGCTGTGACTCACAGCAACTATGTACAACAGAACGAGACACCGCCCGGTCCTGCGCCATCCTCACTATCTTTGCTAGGCTTGAGCCCACCACTGCAGCCACTATGTCAGTCCATCTTGTTGAAGGTCTTCCTTCCCCTTGTGTCACTGACCTTGTACTTTACCAAGCATGACATTCTTCTCCAAGGACTGGTCCCTTTTGAGAACATGACCAAAGTGCATGAGACGAAGTCTGGCCTTCTTGTTTCTAAGGAGCATGCCCACTGTACTTCTTTCAAGACAGATTTGTTTGTTCTTCTGGCAGTCCATGGTGTTTTCTAATTCTAGTTATTCGCAAATCTTCTAATTCTAGTCATTCACAAATTGGATGTTTAGGGAATCATTTTGCTCATTAGGTTATAACATGTCTTTGTGCATGTCCCTTGTTAGAGTAGCAGGGGTGGAGTTGAGTTAAAATAAGGAAGTAAAGGGATAGAAGAGAGAACAAAAAAGAGAAGCAAGCCAATTTTTAATGATACATTGACTTCCAAAGCTACTGGCTAAGTTGGAGAAATTTTAAGAGGCTAAGAAAATAATAAAGGAAGGAAAATTAAGCCCTTACTACCAGAACCAACTGACTGCTGGACTCTCCTTCCCCATATAACAGTTTAAGGGGACCCTTGGGAAGAAAGACAAAACAAGGGCCCCATACCTCTCTTCAAAACCAGGTTTTATATTTCTGGGGTCATGTAAGCTTTGAGGAGATTTTAGCTGTCCATACAAGTTACAACTTAGTAAACATGGTCTCAGACACCAAATTTCAAATCTGTTTTACAAACTGATTCCTGACAGCTCTCACTCTACAATGTGAAAAAACTAAGAAACCAGGTAGGTGGTTTCCAGCAGAATCTAGGTGAGAGAAACTCCACACTTCTAGTTACTACCATAATTTTATGCAAATAATGTATACCTGATACATTTTTTGCAGACCATGCAACCCCCTTGTGCATTAGTTTCTTATGTGTCCTATGCACCCTATATCCATGTGCATGTTATTTACATGGGCCTTTATATGTGAAAATACAGTGATGGCAATAGGTCCTTTTGGATGTCAAAAGGTAGGAAGAAATAATTAAGATGAGTAGGGGAATCAATCGAAATTCCTTTAGGAAGAATCTAAGAAAATAGCACATCTTTTAGGAGATGGACAACATCATCAAAAATAGAAGCTATTCATTTTGGAAACCAATGCTTGTAAGAATTATGAGTATAAGTGGCATGTAATTTAAGTGGAATCTGGAGGTTGAACTAAATGTGCTGTAAACACAGGCAAGCGATAAGTGAAACATCTGGTCTCATTGAGGTATTAAACTGAGTACTCCTGTTAACCACAGTTTTTACGTCAAGATACCATAGGAATGAATTACCTCTATGAAAAGGATTATTATCTTTGTTCACACCAAAATTTGAGATTAGAATACAAAGGTATTTGCAACTGGTAAAAAGGGTGCTCAATTTTCCATGCTAAAATTATCACCATGATCTCTGAGGTAGAACTTTGAGGTCTGGATTACCTTTACATTCCCTTGTTAGGAGGACCTTCTATAACAGATACATCCATTCAGACGCATATCTTGGTTCTGTTCTTCAAATTTTCACAAGAGGACCACAATACTACTCTCTTTCCAATTAACTGCCAAAGCACAGTTATGCTCTTCATCGGTGACCTAGAGAATATGTTTGTCATGTTCTTGCCAGGGATTACAAACTTAAACTCTTGACTATCCAAATTTTATCATGAGTCTACTAGGGGAAATTACTCAGGCAAGCAGGTACACCTATTCCTTCAGACAGCCTAAATTTTACAATGCCAAATCATTTTGTTGTTGTTATGTGCCATCGAGTCGGACCTGACTCATAGCAAGCCCTCCTTGGGTTTCCGAGGCAGTATCACTCGGAAGTAGATTGCCCCATCTTCCTTCCAAGGAGTGGCTGGCTGATGGGTTTGAACTGCCAGCCTTCTGGTTAGCAGTCAAGTGCCTCAGGCACTATGCTACAAGAGCTCCCGCTAAATCATTAGAAAACCAAATACTTAGATTTCATTGTTTAATTTATTGTAGAAATACTTTTGCTATAACATTTTCCTGCTATCAACCTGAGATAGATTTTACCAATTGGCTGAGATTCAATATTGTACCTCTTGTAAGTCTGCTGCTAAGAACTCCATATACTGTATCACACAGTACTCTTTTACGAAGGCCAGTCCTCAGAAGGAAGATTGGGCAATCTTCGTCTGTAGAGATACTGTCTCAGAAACCCAAGCAGCAGTCGCTATGAGTTGGGTTCGACTCAATGGCAGTGAGTATAGGAAATGGTAGTCTTAGTTTGAGGGAAAGCTAGATTTCTTCTAAAAAACTAATATGTTACCTTATTTCTATGTTTTTGCTATTGATTGTAAACTCCTTTTTCTTCTGGGTACCCGGAAGTTTAGAGATAAGTTTGCAGCTTACCACTGGCAAATGTACAGGATTGTGGGGTTTGCATTTATCTTTAGCTTTCCTACTTTCCATTCATGTAATTAATTCAACTTACTTATCTTATATCTTTGGTATGTGGCTTTTTCAAAGCTACCTCAATATGCCAATTTTTATAACCACATACATATAGTAATGAAATAATATACTGGTTTCATTAATAAAAGTAATTTAATTCATTAATAGCACAGTACTGATTATTGGCTTTTGAGTCTTTGAGTTCAGTCAGAGTTTAACATGTACTCAAAGAACAATTTCTAGCTCTTAAAAAAAATTAAAAAAGATACTCGTTTCAGGTCATGATGACTCTTTGAGGTTTATTTGAGTGGGCAATGGCAGGTATGGTAAAACACAACAAAAACAGCATGTTGGTGGTGGTGCTGGGGATGACCCTCTTCACTATGGAAGCATAAAGCACAGTGGGTAAATGCACAGTGGATAAATGCACAGTGGGTAAATGCACAGATGAGTCAGACTGGTTTGGTTCAAATCTGGGTCTGCCACTTATCCCCTATGTGAACTTTGTCATCTATAAAACTGGCAAAATAGCAATATCTAATTCACAATACTGTCATGAAGTATAAATGAAATAATTCATTAAGGTGTTTCAAATGGTTCCTCGCATTTGACAATTCTCAGTGAACATCAGCTAATAATCAATTGAGTGAATTCAATCATGGCAGGGTCTTCAGAGGAGGGACGATCTGCAGACCAGCTGCAAAGGCAGAAGAACGAGGATTAAAAGGTCTAGGAGTTAATGAACTGTTCTCATTCAAGGTATAATTACAAAGTAACCAGACTGGTCTACCTTCTCTAAGCTTAACTTCTCATCTGAAAAGGTGTTATAAATTCCAAGGCCACAGGCTCATTGTGAGACATGTACAGTACCTAGCATAAAAGTCTGTCACATAGTAAGTGCTCTATAAACATTTACCACTTTAGAGTTAACTTTCTATATAAGAAGGATTGAAATTCATGACAGGGAGAAATGGATTCCTAATGTCTGAATAAGGAACTGATAGCTATAGAAGAAAATAAGGCAAATAAAAGTTAAGAAACTTTTACAGATGGTTTGTGGCTTTGTTCTATTTGGACCTGGACAGAGAAAAGATGACACTCACAAAAAATCCTGATATCCCAATCCGTGGGAAAGTTATTTTCAAAATGTACAAAACAGCTTCTTGGAATGAAGAATGGAGTAAAGTCACGAGATTTGGAATCAACTAAGTAGGTGACCTGGGTAAGCCATTTAGCTCTCAGAGTACCATATTTTTATGCAAATAATGCATTCTCCATACTTTTTTTTCCACCATGCAACTCCCCTCCTGCATTAGTTTCCTATGCATACTATGCACATTATATGTGTGTTATTTATATAGTGTGTTATATTTGAAAATAAGTACTCATGGATTAGTACAATGAAACTAAGGGTGATCTTTAAAGGTTCTTTTTACTTACTATTCTATTGACACACTCTTTTGAAAGACCATGTGATTGCATCAGTTGTCAGGGTAGCTCTTAGCAGGGCAATTATTCGACTTTCAACTAACTAGTGACTTTCCCTTTTGGAGTTAGGCTAAGAATATAATGAATTCCTTTTCTGCATGGTTACTGTGCTTGGACAGGTCCATCAGTGACATAAACTAGCAGCTTCTACTTTGAAAAACTACCCCTGGGAACATGAATTGACAGTTCTTCCAAGCCCAGAGGTAAACTTTATAATTTCTGGTGCTGACATTCTTTTGGCTCCAGAGAAGACTCAGAGAGGAAGAGCCTGTCTCCTGGTATCCTTCTGTTTTCTAAAGCAGCAAGGCATTTAGAGCTCAGGGCAATCTGGGTTGGATTACTCTGGCTATTTACATAGATACTGTATTTATGCCCTTTGATGTCCTCTTCCCCAGCCTGGGCCCTAAATTTTCCTTTGAGGTCACTGGCCCAAATGACCCATTGATTGCCGGAGAGGCAGGCATTTAACTGCATAATTAAGGTACGGACAACTGCTTCAGGGGGAAATACAAGGAACAATGAAACTAGATTATTTCTTTTTTTGCCAAAGAGAGAGCAACAGAGAGCTAGTGAAAGAGAGACAGAGACAAAGAGAAAGAGAGAGAGAGAGGAAGGGAGGGAGGGAAAGAGGGAGGGAAGGAAGAAGATGTGTCTGTGTGTGTGGAAAGAAGAGAAAATATAACAAATGAATGAGAAAAAAAAAAAAAAAAAACCTTAAGTATTATCCTGAAAATAAATATGCTGTGAAATAATCAAAAAAAGACCATTACAAGGAAGATGGTATATTTTAAGGATGTGGAAGCACAGAGACATTCGATCCTGGGATCTGAAAGAACGCAGAGCTGGCCTGCTGGTGATTACTCTTCAGTAGTAAGCCAACTTAAGTATTTCATCTTCTGATCAGACACCAGGCTCAGCAGTAAAAGGAGTTCCAAGAATATAACCTTATTTGTGTTAAAGAGATTTCAATTTTACTTTACATACCCTTGAATTATCTACATTGCACATTGATTTAATTGCAGGTAAATTCCATAATGTGTCCCCTCCAGCTGAAGTAAACACCACTCTAGAATATCGATCACCTGGTGATATGAAAAAAGAAAAGAGAAGATTTAGAAATCATTAATTTATTTCATAAGATTCAGCATTCAAAATAAAACTGGGAAACCACATGGACAATTCATTAGCAGTGGGCAATCTTTTCCTTTGAGGAATTCCAGGAGAAAATGTTTTTAAAAAAGGGAGCGAGAGAGACTAATGCTATAATATTACCTTGGCTCAAAGCTTTTCTCTACTTACCACATCTTAAAATTATAGAGATTATGTAACAAATCTATTTATGATAACTATAATTAGGAAGAATAATCCATAAGAACTTTCAGCAGGAAACCAATTCAGTGCCTCACTCTTAATTTCGCAACACATTACCATAACGGTACATAGAATCGAAGAATGACACACTAAGGGATATCAAGACTGGATTATAAAGATGTTCTCTTTGGCAGCTAACTAGAGAGGAAAGATGACAGGTGATGCATTTCAAAACACTAAAAACATTCAAGCACAGAATGCTGCCAGGATCACAGACATAATCCACATTCTGGCAGAGTACATGGCCTTTCTGATACAGCAGAGTCTAGAAAACTTATTTTGAAATTCAGTTTAATATCAAACATGTTACTGAGTAAAGGAGTTGTGTGACACACTGGAAAGGATATATGGTCTTTGGAGTCAAACCTGGATGAAACTAGGTCCTCTCATTGACTAGCTGTGTAATCTCAGGTACCTAACCACCTCTCTGAGCCCTGGTTTCCTCCTCTGTGAAATGGAGACAGCAACACCTACCTCAATAGGTTTGAGTTAAATTAAATAAGATAAAAAAAAAAAAAAGAAGTGCTCAATAAATGTTGTTTCTGTCTCCTTAGTAATTTTAGACTTAATATGAACCAAGTAAAACAACACAGATTAATTTTACATTCTCTAAAAAGCCTAATTACAGTAACAAAGAAAATCTATTTGTAAATTTATGGTTCAAGTTTTATTACATGAGATTTTATTCATAATCAGGAAGTTTCCTTTAGTAAACTCTTGTGTTCATCAGATGGCTATTATTTTATGTTGATTGATTTTGGAAAGCAAAATTATCCTTGTAGAAACTGAAACATTTTCAGTTACATACAGCCAGTAATAATAGCTTTAGTCAAGGCAGAATCTATTACTAAGGAGACAAAAACTTAGTGCTGATGACTGACATACAAACAAGACTTTAGGAAATTTGCTAATGTTCTTCCAGGTTAATATGTTAACTAACAGATGTTGGTGAAGCAATGATATATAGTAATACTTTGAGAGACATCAAAAGCTAGAACAAGCAACTAGTCAGAGTTCAACTAACTTGTTTAAGGCAGAAACATATCAGAGAAGGAAAATTCAAAATATTTTCCACTACAGGTAGTCTCCCAACTTAACAATATATTCAAGAGAGGTTGACAAATCGCATTTATGACTGCCCATTTTTATTTTTGTGCCTCTTATCATTAGTAACATGTACTATACACAATGTCGCAGTGTGCAGTTTGCTGATGTTATCATTCTCATGCCAACCCCCAAAGACAAATAAAGATCGGATTTATAAAGATTCCGATAATAGAAGACAATTAATAATAAAAACTGAAAAAAAAAGTGAAGTATTTGACTTATGTCAGAACCGACTTACAACAGTGTTGTCGGAGCAGAACCCGATCCTAAGTTGGGGACTGCATATAATAAAGAGTGACAGAAAAGTGGTTAAGACTGCACCCTCTCAAAGGCAGAAAACCTGCAAGACCTAGACAAACAAGGCAGTCTTGTTAAGGTCCAGCTCTGACAGGTTTCACTGTTACGTATTTAAGAAAAAGAAACTTGCATTGTTTTCTGAGATCAGTATAACATTCTATCTTTTATTTTCTCTCTCTATTGCTATATAGTGAATGAGTTCTGGTGGCGTAGTGGATAAGGCACTAACTAGAAGGTCAGTGGTTCAAACCTACAAAGATGAGGCAATCTCCTTCCGTAAAGATGTACATACAGCCTTTGAAACCCAATGGGGGTAGCTATGAGTTGGAAACAACTCGATAGCGGTGAGTTCGTTTTTTTTTGGTATTGCTATATAGTGAGACTGCTACCCAGAAGGCTGGCAGTTCAAACCCATCAGCCACTCCTTGGAAGGAAGATGGGGCAATCTACTTCCGTAGTGATACTGCCTCGTTAATCCAAGGAGGGGTCGCTATGAGTTGGGTCCGACTCGACGGCACATAAAAACAACAACAACATATAGTGAGACAGTCTTCAAAATAAAGACCTGGAAGCTTGGTAACATCTAGAAACATCAAAGATCCAATTAGGGCCTCTAGCAATCTGATAAAACACATATTCAAGAGGGATTTTTAACAAGAAGAAAAGCTGAAACAAAAAGAGCTTTAATGTTAATATTTAGTTAATCAGAACTTGTAATTATCTACCACTCTTCACTCCTAATCACTAGAGCTAATCAATGCTGTTGTTATCAGTTGCTATGGAGTTGGTTTCAACTCGTGGCAACCCTGTATGTGCAGAGTAGAATTAATTGCTCCAAAGGGTTTTCAAGGCTATGATCTTTTGGAAGACAGCCAGACGTGACTTCCACAGCACCTTTTGGCTAGTCCAGCACTTAACCATTTACACTACCTAGGGACTCTGGTAGCATAGTGGCTAAGGCACTTGACTGCTCACCAGAAGGCTGGCGGTTCAAACCCACCAGCCACTCCTCGGAAGGAAGGTTGGGCAATCCTACTTCCGTAGTGATACTGCCTCGGAAACCCAAGGAGGGGCCGCTATGAGTCGGGGCCGACTCGACGGCAAACAACAACAACAACAACAGGGACTTCTTAGATACTCATATACAAGGAAACCCATGAGAGCTGGAACTTGATCAGGTAGCCTTGTTTTTCCGGGTCTTGCAAATTTGTAGCCTTTGACAGGGTATATAGTCTTACCACTTTCCAATCTCTATTAGTAGAAAATATTAGTTTTCCTTCTCTGACCAGTTTCCGCCTTATATAGGTTCTGGCTTTTGTAGGTTTTACCGTATTTCCTCTAAACCGTGAGCTCCTTCTCACTGGCAGCTACAAAAAGATTAGGCTGTCTCTCAAAGCTATACGAAATTTTGTTTAGCTTGCACAGTGAATTTACTGCCAACATTTAGAGACCTGGAAAGTCTATGTTAAAATTTGGATTCCTAGTTTCTGGGAAATTCTTGCAATACTGGGCCCTCATTTCTGCAAGGCCACAATCACCATCACTTCCTACTGTTTTATACCCAGCTAGGAAGGTTGGGCAATCCTACTTCCGTAGTGATACTGCCTCGAAAACCCAAGGAGGGGTCGCTATGAGTCGGGGCTGACTCGATGGCACATAACAACAACAACAAGCTTCAATCATTTGTATGCTGTGCCAGGCCCTTGAGGCATTCAACCTTTGGACCCCTGGGCTTTACTTCTGTTCAAAACTCTCTGCCTCTAATGTCTAGGATGAAGCAGGAACATAGAAAACTCTTAATGCATGCTTTTTGAATAAAATTAAATCATTTATATATTATTTTAAATAATATTTTTGATAATATAGATTATTTCAGGGTTCAGTTAAAAAAATGGACTTATTATTTATCTAGAATATCTTTTAAGTAGACAGTACAAGGAATTTTAAAAATAATTTGAAATTCAGGAAAGGTAAAGAATTTTATTAAATTTTTATTTTCCTTAGAACTGGACAGGAGCTCTGGTAGTATAGTGGTAAAGGCATTCGGCTGTTAACCAAAAGGTCAGTAGTTTGAGACCACCAGCTGCTCTGAGGAACAAAGACAATGCAGCCTGCTGCCGTAAAGATTTATAGCCTTGAAAACCCAATAGGGGTTGCTATGAGTCAGAATTGACTCAATGGCAGTAAGTTTGGTTTTTCTGGTACAACTGGACATAACTCAATTATCTTATTGATTTTTATTATAAGTAAATAAATTCATATTAGTAGTTGACTGATTCAGTGAAATAAAGAATAAATAAGATAAAAATCTCTTAAAGCATGATAGAAACAGTGAAGCTGTGAGAATATTAGTCACACATTCCTATCAGTCTAGATATAATCATGTTCAGTCTAGATATAATCATGTTCAGTCTTGAATGCAAGGAGCTCTGGTAGCATAGTGCCTAAGGCACCTGACTGCTCACCAGAAGGCTGGCGGTTCAAACCTACCAGCCACTCCTTGGAAGGAAGGTTGGGCAATCCTACTTCCATAGTGATACTGCCTCGGAAACCCAAGGAGGGGTCGCTATGAGTCGGGGCCGACTCGACGGCAAACAATAACAACAACAACAACAATCTTGAATACAGAGGCAACTGCACAGAGATTTCTTCATCTACGATGCCACTCACTTGGAACGTCGCAGAAAAAGCTGTCTTTGTGGAAGTTCCAGTCAACTTCTCTTTTCTCTCTTTCATAATGATCATCTGACCACCTATCATCCCGATGGCTGAAATGGAACAACAATTTGATCTTTAATAAAGCTTAAGGCCATTAAGTATACTGGTAATAGTATACCCTCAAAGCCAGGACCTATTTAGCACTTGATATTAAGTTGGAAGGATTATATATAAGCAACCAACACTAATTTTCTCACTTCTGAAAAGGAAACCTCCACCTTTTCATCCTAATGTAACAAAATCTTAAAAGAGAAGGCCAAGTTAAATTTGGTGACAAAAAAATTTTGAGCCATACATTTTTACATTCAACATTTTGGCTTAGACGGTTTTTAAACATGGAATTCATTAGGTAATGTTTCATCTACAATTACATTTAAAAATTACCTTTTGGCTTGCTCATCTGCATATTTGAAAGGATAATTTGCTAATGTTGCTTTGTATCCGGTATTTTTCACCATGTTATTCCATGTGACCAGTCTTTGGCCTATTGCAGTCCCTCTTGGTTCAAAACCCTAAGGCAAAATATTACAGATTTCCATTACTGTAATTCCTTTCAGGCTAAGTGTAGTTATAATAACAGCTTGAGAAAGCAATGTCAAGGTGATGCAAAACTTCCAAGAGAAAATATAGACGTTCCTCACTGCTACTCTAGAAGTGAACGGCATTGAAACAAGATGAGCTGATGATGATCACGTATTTACTGTGACAAAACAGTTTTGATTATGTTACGTGTCTCAGAAAGGAAGGAAAAAAAGCTTATCAAAAGCTTATCTTTCTAATTCACACGTAAGGATTTAGTAAATATTTATTTTTATGTTATAAAAATATGGTCAAATTAACTTTTGTTATGCTTGTTACAATATTTTACAAAGAATAAATTATCTTTGATGCAAATACATTTTTTCCTCATTATTCTATGAATGCCTGAAATTAGTTAAAAACAGATCCTGCTATCTGTTAGGAATAATAAAATTCTTTTAACTGTTTAGGAGGAAAAAATGACACTCATTCTTGAAGATTTTATGAAAATTTTTTTTTTTTTAAATACTATTCAGATTCTCCATCTTTTTAGCTTAAACATGGGGACAAGAAGCAAAATCACCAGATTTTTGATGGCAAGCAAGTTCCTTAATCCTTAAGAACCTGAGACTATAGGTAAAAGACACATCTTTAATTTTCAAAAAGAGAGTTGTATACAAAGTGGTTTGAGAAGGCTTTAAAAGAAATGGGATACATGCAACATACATTAAAATACTTCATTTTTTGGAGTTAATTTTGGACTAAAGAAGATAGATAAATTCTACTGGCTCAATCTTCCTTACCAGCAATGGATCAGAGAAATCAGGAAGCTCTGGTACTAATACTCCAACCAAGGCACAGACCACGATAAACACGGTGCACATGCCCAAGACCACCACGGGCCAGTCAGCTATCAGGGCTGCGTAACTAAGAAGCAGAAGAAAATGACAAAGGCCTTTCAGAAGCAACATAGAGTACTTTGATTCTTAATAGAGAAACTTATTAAATACAGAAGGCTGGCGGTTCAAATCCACCAGCCACTCCTTAGAAGGAAGGTTGGGTAATCTACTTCCATAGTGATACTGCCTTGGAAACCCAAGGAGTGGTTGCTATGAGTTGTGTCTGACTTGACAGCACATAACAACAACAACAACAACAACAACAGTATTGGAGTCCCTGGGTAGAAAGCTACATGGCAGGCTGTTAACTGAAAGGATGCAGGTTGGAGTCCACCCAGAGGTACCCTGGAAGAAAGGTCTGGCAATCTACTTCCAAAAAATCAGCTACTGAAAATGCTATGGAGCACATTTCTACTCTGGCACAAACAAGGGTTGCCACATGTCAGAGCTGACTGGGCAACAATTTTTTTTTTTTGGAGGGGGGTTACAGGTATTTAACCATCCTTACAGCTACTGTGCTTTCTTCATTCTCTTCTCAGCCAAGATTCCTGTGGGAAACATACTCACTGTCTCCATTTCCTGACATTCTATGTTCTCTTGGGGAAAAAAAAAAAAAATCACATATACATTAAAAAAATATAAACCAAAAAAATATAATGAACATAAACATTAACATAATATGTATATAATATACATTAGCCTGTGAGATCCAAGAGGGCAGACATTTGTATCTGTTTTATTTATTGTTGTATCTGTGCCTATAATAGTAACTCACTGCCATGAAGTCGATTTTGACTCAGAGCAACCCCTCCTTGGGTTTCCGAGGCAGAAAATCGCTACGGAAGTAGACTGCCCAGTCTTCCTTCCCCGGAGTGGCTGGTGGGTTTGAACCATGCCACCAGAACTCCTTGGTGTTTTTTTGGTTTTATCCCAATAAACGTCTATTGAATAAATGAACAAGCATCCACATACTCACTACTCTTTCACTTTCCAACCTACTAAAGTTTGGTTTTAGTCTCTTACTATCAGTAAAAGCCAGGTGCTAACTGGCTGATGCTGACTCATGGGTGACCACATGTGTGTCAGGGTAGAACTGTGCTCCATAGAGTTTTCAAGGGTTAATTTTTTGGAAGTAGACTGCCAGGTATTTTTCTCACAGTACTTTTGATTGGACTCAAACTTCCAACCTTTAGGTTTCTAGCTGAGTACATTAATGATTTGCAATACACAGAGACTCTATTCTCTTCCTCTGAAATTCTTCTCTGTGTTATCAAATCCTACAATCAAGCTCCCTTCTTCCAGATGCCCTTCCCACCCACTGTCTTCAACTAAAAGATTTATTTCTGGATCCCTACTCCAAGGTCCTGGAGGGCATGGACCATTCTGTATTATCTTGATACTTCCCAGTCTTGATATGAACTGAGTATCCAATAGAAATTGACTAAACTGAACTTGGTCTAAAATTCAGAATGTATTATGCCAACTTCAGATTTCTTTCATTAAAAAAATCCACTGCCATCAAGTTGATTCTAACTCATAGCAACTCTTCAGAACAGAGTGTAATTTTCCCATAGGGTTTTGAAGGCTATAAATTATTATGGAAGCAAACTGTCTCATCTTTTTCCATTGAAGGGCTGATGGGTTCAAACTACTGACCTTTTGGTTAGCAGCCAAATGCTTTAACCACTGTGACACCAGAGCTCCTTGAATCTAATCAAGAATGTTAGTTTCATTTGGCTAAACCAAACTCACTGCTGTTGAGTCGGATCCAACTCATAGCGACCCCTTCTTGGGTTTCTGAGGCAGTATAGTGATGGCAATTTCTGGCCCATTTGAAATAGGCTTCTGTGGTGGTTATGTTTGTGTGTGAACTTGGCTGGGCCTGGATGAGTGGCTGGGCAGCTGGTGGTAGTTATTCCCCATGATGAGACTGGCAATCAACTCCATGGTGGGATCTACCACAAGCAGCTGACCAGCTGCCTTTGGGATGTGGTCTGCTTCCTGTATGTAAGGAGAAGCTTTGAGAATGGCCTCTAGCTTATGGCACGCTTGGACCCTGCATGTAGCCATTATTCAGCAGCCTGCCATGCTCTGCCGACCTTGGGACTTAAAATGGACTTGAGTTAATGGCCTGCTGTGTGGTTTGGTAACATTGAGACTGTGCCTTTTTACTTGTCAACCTTGGGGCTTCTCAGCCTCAGCAGCCAGCAGCTGTCTGAGTGAAGAAATGCCTCTAGCTCCAGTGGGCCGGGAGCAGGAGGCAGAGCTGGTCCCCAAGGTTGAGGGGCTTTCACCCAGCCCCTAGAGCCTAGCACTTTGAACTTGGACTAAAGCCTCCAAATTGTAAGAATAAACTCCTGTTTGTTAAGGCCATCCCATTTGTGGTATATTTCTTGTCAGAGTGGCACTAGGTAACCACAACAGCTTCTCCCTCATATATTTGTGTTATTTCTTCTAAATCATGCTAACAGCTACAAATGAAACTGGTGGCTCAAAGTGTCATCATGGAAGAAGCTACTATATTTCTGTAGGAACAGACTGCTTATTTTTATATTCTGATCTCTTAACATCATAGGTCTGGCTTTGTGGAGGTTTTTACTTCAAATTACAACTGTAGTCAGGAAATTTAATTATAACACATTTATGTTTTAAGGGAGCACTGCACAGGCATATTATTCCCCTGTTCTTCTTTCAAAATAATCTTATGAAAATAAGTCAATAATAACAGCTAACACTTCCTGAGTGTACCAGTCACTCCCGTGCTTCACTTAGGTTATTACCTCATTTAATTCTCACAACAATCTTATGAGATGAAACTGAGGCACAGACAGAATAAGTAATATGTTCCAAGTCATAAAACTAGGAATCCAGGTAGTCAGGTTCTAGATTCTGGCCTCATAACCATTATGTTATCCACTCTCTCTTCAAACACCAGAGAAACAAAAGACATTTGGAATAACTAAACCTGCCCCCCCCCAAAAAAAAAAACCCACACACTAAACTGCTTCCTCAAATTCACATATAAAAAATTAAACTCTTATGCCACACTAACAGTTAATTTCTCTTTGCAAAATTACATAGATCCATAGGACTCCAAGTTTGAACATTATTCATTAGACTGCAAATTCTGAATTTAAAAACTCATTAAGGAAAATTATGCTGGTTAAGATGGAATAATTTTGAATGTAATGAAAACACATAAATCATAACATGCTGATTGTGGTTGTGCAAATGTAAACACCAGTGGTCAGAGCTGTCACATTTCTAGAACACACCCAAGGCAAAAAATATCCCCTGCACTTTACTTCCTCCTCCACCAAACATAAACCAAGATGAAAGCTACTGGTTTTGAAGGAATAAGGTCCTTTGTCTCAATAGCACAATTTAGACTTTCTATTTGTTGCTTCAGACTTTAAAAGAGTTCTTTACATTTTAAACTTTGCAAATATCAGCCCTTTGAAATGAAAATGGCTCCAGGCTTATATAATTACTCATTATACTTTATTTTAAATGGATCAATTTTGTTTAAAATAAGCCAGAAGCTATACGTTTTCTACCTACAAACATGTTACCAATAGATGGTGGCAGGTCCCAAATTACTTAGTTTTCTTTAATACTGTGGTTTAATTTACCCATATAATGACTTTTTGTTTTTTGTTCTTGAAAAATCTGCACACACATGCATTGCATAGCAACCTTACAAACCTCATTCAATAATTGCTTTTCTTCTCTTTGAAAACATTTGGTTTTGATTTTATAGTTCTGCTATATACCATGTATGTGCACCGACAACATATGGAAAGTTTATGGCATGAGTGATTTCAGCACATTTCTTCCAAACACTTTTAACCTTACTATATTACAATCCCACTTCCTCACCCAGCAGATGTTTCACACGCTAACCTTTTCTAGAGACAACTGTTCACACTTAAGAAATGGGATCACCATCCTGAGTACATAAAGCACCACAGGGGGAAGCCCCAACTATTATGAGTAAATTTTACTCAGACATGTTTCTCCTAAATACCACAAAATTGCTAAGGATATTTCTGCTCTTCATTCTGCCTCTGCTATCATGTAGCTGAAGGCACCACATGGGAAAGGAAAAGTTTCATGTACAACATGAAATCCAGACAATGGTTATAATATTAAGATGAAAATCTAATAAGGTAGGAAGACTGGAGAAGGAAAGGAAATTAAAAATGGCCTATAAATCTCACTACTATATATATTTTTAAGCATGCTAATTCCACTCTTGGAGACTGTGGGTTCAATGTATATCTTCTACCTAAGCTTCAGAGAATAAAGGACCTGAACATTATTGAAAAAATGAACTACGTGTGCATTAGAACAATTTTGAAAAAGACCTTTTCCTTTACCATAACATGCTCTTCTGTATATAATATTTATCTTGCTTCCCCCTGCACTAATTTTAGGAATCTTTAGACAACATCATTGTAAATGTAGTCCATTTCACTAACATCTCAGTTGGAGCAGGCAATTATTTTCCAGTGAACAACTGAGTGACAGTCTTTCCCAAGGCCCTAGCGCTGTCCCACATGCCTATGTTAGGGCCTGCAGCTCGGTCTAGTATAAAAGTTCCTACCAACTTCTCATAAAGTGAAGTCTTAAGTAGTACACAGATCTAAAGGATTCATCCTCCTTTTGACAGGAAGATGAAACAGAAGGAGCAGGGGGAATGAGTGCTCATGGAGGAATGGCAGACCTGAGTTATTGTGCATGCTCCCTGACATCCTGGCAAGGGTGTTGCTGTCATGCTAGGGTTTTCATGCTTATACCATGGGAAGTTCCTTAAACATACTCATGGACTCTCAGCCACCTTATTACGGGTTTACTCTAGAAACAGATCAGAAATAACTATTAAACCACCTCAAATTCCTTAAAAAAACAGACTTGTGTGCTAGCAAAAATTCAAACATAGAGACATTCTGAGTATGCTCTCAATAAAGGGTTAACATCAGCCACTCTTAGGTAAACACGGGAGGGGACAAAGCAGAAGTAGATATT